CATTGTGACTTTATTCTCATAACAAAAATAAATAAATTGTGTAGTCTGACCCTGATACTCTGTCATAATGGCACATCCTGGATAGAGTGAATGTAATTGTGATTGCATGAGAAGTATTACAGAAATGTCAGACAAGTAATTTTTCAGTAAACTACTTGTACTTTCACTCAAATATAATTTTAAGGTACAGGACAGTCAAACTACCAGCATGGCTCCTCCTCTATCTGATTCATCACTGTTTCCTGTTTACAAACCTCTAAACTCCTCAAAAGGACCATGTTTCGTAAAAGTGTGAAGTTTTTAAAGTTTATTATCTGTCTCTGATCAGTTCATGCATCTGATGGGAGGCCTGAGTCGTGTCCTTTGTCACCCTGAGTTATTTCTGGACCTGTTACTTGATTAACAGCAGCCATTAGCATCACTGAGCCGACATGTAAGCAGGTGGAGGACATCGTCAGCACGAGTACTGACCCTGAAAACTGTGGAGCCGGAAAACTATTATACAAGACACACTTTTCATTAGACAGAGCAGAACCCAGGGCGACGTCTATTCATCGTGGTTTGCTTTTACAACTCTATTAGTTTTGTGAAGGAAAGCATGAAAGTTCATGATGCTGCAGAATTCCTCCTCTGCTCGGAAGATTTAAAAACAAGTTCAATGAAACAAAATTGTTCTCAAAAAGACAGGTTCTCTGAGTTTTAGAGGCTGTTTTGAATTCTTACATTCCTTCTTGTTTGAATGTAATCTCTCAGTTCAAGTCCTTCCCTCATCATCTTATCATGTCATGAATTAATCACAAGTCCTATCTGCAGATCTCATTAAACAGATTAGACCGCAGAGACAACATGAGGAGTTTTACTGCTTTATTTTAGAGGCTTTTCTGCCTTTTGTCTAAAAAYTAACATCTGCTGTTATCAGTGGCATAAAGAAAAAAATATTAAATCTTCAATTTATTGTCAATTGTAGGGATAAAATGATCAGAAGTCTACTTTGTGTGAACTTTTACCTCATTTGTTGTCTTCTGTGTCTTTGCATATTGTTTTTTTGTATTTCTCTGTGTTTGGGCTCATTTCGACTCTTCTCTTCTCCCACTGTCCAGGTCCAGCTCTCCAGCGTCAGGTCCAGAACGGCCCGACTTCAGATGAGATGGAAGCTCAGAGAGCAAGGTGAAAAACTTTTTTTCCTTTGTATAAACACAGACTGCGAAGCTGCTTATCGTGCTAAATGCTCAGAGGTTGAAGCTGAAGTTTTCCGTGCAGCTCCGGCTCTCCTCATTTGAAAGATTAATTAAGGATTAATCCCTCCGTGACTCTCTGTGGGATTGCGTGACCAAAGCTCAGACAACTCAGCTGAAATTGTCCAAAACTGTTTAAAATAATTAACTTTTTTCCCACTGAATTGTCCCATCACTTCATTGCACAACACTTATGCTAAAACATTTGCGTTCATTCTCTGTGTTCGCAAAAAATCTCATGAACCACTGGACAGATTTTAATGACACTCTCAGGAAATTATCACTGGCTGTACTGGCTGTATGTCTACACCTGGTCAACCTTTGGAACCAGTTCAGTTCACGATGGCTGCCACAGCTTATCAGGCTTGACACGAACAAAAAATGGCTTCAGTTCAATCAGTCTCACAGAAAAGCTATAATTTCCCAAAACACACTCTGTTGTGTGGGATCTCACATGAGACTGTGCAAACTGTATTTTCAAGATGTAAATAAAACAGCTCTGATTTCATTTCTCAACATAAAATGATTTTAGTTTAAATTTGAGTATGAAAGGCCTGTCTGAAAGGATAGGCTCTTAATCCTTTTAATGTATTTTTTTTTAATTTTCAGGTCACTTTTTTCCAGATCATTTTCAGGTCTTTTTTATCCAGGTGAAAAACCTTTAACACTTAATGAAAACAAAGTCAAATTTGCARTAATGTAAATAATACATACTGCATATGTTGTGTAAAGAAAACTAGAAGACCATTAGTTTAAATAAATATTTTTTTTCGTTAACAGTCTTAAATATACAACCTATCTTCAAAATCTACCAAGTACTTGTCTAGAGAACTTTGAAAATTTAATACCAAGAAAATACTCCCATTATCTCATAAAGACACAAAATGTTACACATTATATTTCCAACGGCCCAATAAATATCAAACAATAACAAACATTTGGTAAAATCACACAAACTCTAAACAATTACGATATAGCAAACAATCCATGACAAAAGTCACTGATTAGAAATGTTTGGGCCACACCCTTCTGAGGATTTAGCTCTGTGGCTGCTTTAACTGCAGCACCACCACAGATGCAACAAAGTCCAGGGATCGGATTTATAAAACTGGCGTACGCACAGTATGAGCCCAGAAACTTGTGTACGCCACTTTTTACACCAAGGTTRTGATTTATAAAATMCAAACTTGACGTGAAAATGTGCGGTGCCTCACGCCAGCTCTGACCCATGCGTACGCTCATTTTGGAGATGGTGAAGTGAGGAATTAGAGCCACACTGTGTAATGATCACTGTCAGATATTTAATTTACCTTCATCAGACTTAGATTTTTATTCAGCTTTATCATCAGCTTTCTTGTAATATTTATGCTTCTGCTGCCGAGCCATGAAATAAAAAAAAACTTAAATCTTAAATAAAAGTTCCCATGCGCAAATCCCAGACAGCAAAAGTCACGCTTTGGATACACGCGCAGGGCGTATTACCTCGCCAGTGTTTGTCGCGCGCGGGGTGTGTGTGTGTGTGTGTGT